GAAGGAACTTGAGGGCTGGAGAGTGGCAGCTTACAGATCACCTGAGCTGGTGATGGAGGAGTTGACTTGAGGTCTAGCCATTAGGCAGGGCCCATAGGCTGGTGAGCTGGAGAGAGGTCCAAGTCAGAGCCCTGCCTCCTTAGCCAAGACAGCCTGGGACACTGGCCAATTATCCATTCGTACCCACCAGAGAGGCATCCCACCTGAGAAAGGGGCCAAAGGTCTGTGTGGGAAGCCTGGGTAGGGCTGGAGCCTGACTCAGGGGCTCCACCTGGGTGAAGTCCATCCCACTAACCAGGCTGAGCCCCTGCGCCTCCCCCTCCACGTCCCTACCCAGAGAAGATTCATGTTTTGTAATCTGGAGCTGAGGCTGCCCCCCTCTCCAGAGAGGTGCTGACATGCTTCTCAGAACTTCTCCATACTGTGCCCCTTCCCCACACCCCATGCCTCCTCCTCAACTGACCCCTCTACCATTCTCCCTGGGTCTTCTCCCAGTTTGCCCTCCACTGTCCACTTCCCTCCTCTTCCCGACGCTCTCCCCAGATCTCTCCCTCCCATTCTTCCGAACATCCCTATTAGTCCTTCTACCTTCTTCTAAGTGGCCCTTGAGAGTAACAGTCTACAACCAAGCATCTCCTCCTCCCCTCTTCCCTAGAAATCCCCTCTCATTTGTTTCTCTCTTTCCTTCCCCAACCCTACCCGCTCCATCCCTCCTCTGCCCCAGGCCTTCAGGGTCCTTGCCTTCATTGGCTGACTTTCCCTACCGCACCCTCATAGCTCAGGCTAAGGACATATCACTTTGGTCAAGGACACATCTCATTCACTTCATTCCTCCTTTGGACACCAGCAAGGAATGTCACCCCTCTCCAACCACACCCCCAGCAATGGCCACCCTGTGGCCTGCTTCATCTGGTCCCCACCCCATCTGCCACAAAGCTTTGCACAATAAATCACCGAGCTTTGATGGCCCCATTACTAAGCAGCACTTAATATGCAGCTGGTATTCATTTTATTCATTCAACAAATATTTATTGAGAATCTACTATCTGCCAAGCCCTTGGACTATATCCATGAAAAAACCTTTGTTTAAATTGGTGTGTTGCAGGGTTTGCATTGATGAATTCTCTAGCCTCTGGCCTTGAACCCTGAGAGCACCCTTCAGGGCCCTGAAGAGACCCTGATGGCCAAATAAGTGAGTGAGTGTGTTTATGTGTTATGTGAAAATACCATCTACTGTGTGATACTTCTGTTGCTGATAGAGAGCGGACAGATGGGAGTATGATGATAAAAACTCATCATACACAGACACACTGGGCTCTAAATGCCAGCTCTGCTACAACTCATAACCTGAGCAAGTCTCTTAACCTCCCTAGGCCTCAGTGTCCCCACCTATAAAACTAGAATAATAACACCAACCTCAGAGGGCAATTATAAAAATTAAATGAGTTAATGTATGTTCAGCTCCTAAAATAGTATCCAGTATAGTGTAAGATGAACATCAAAAGATGCTATTATTTTTTAAGTTCGGAAGACTATTCATAAAATAGATTTTTATGCTAAACATATACTACCTACATAACTTTAAAAAATAACCACATACCCCTAGAAGACGTGGAAAAGAATGTTCATGGCACTCTGTTCATACTATAGAATTCTGGAAACAACCATGAGGCTATTAGGGCAAAAATGTGAATAAACTGTGGTGTAGTCGGACAGTGAATCCAGTGCGTGGTGAGAATGGACACCAAACAGCCAGAGGAAGCACACTGCACAAAAGAAACCGCTATAAGTTTTTCACTCTGATAAACAAATCAAATATCCTTTTAGATCTTCAAAACATAGTAGCATTTAATAATTCTTGAAGTTTAATAAAATGTTTTTACGTTTGAATTTTTTATACCTTGTTTTAGATGGCTGCTTCCATCTTTAAAATTGCTTAGCAAGGGCCAGCCATTAGTAATTAGCTTGTGTTTATGCATGCCATTTTTATAAGAAGTTACACTGGAAGAGAAGACAAAGTGTATGTGAGGTGCATTTAACTCACAGCACTCCTTGGGACGCCCAGCTGGCTGAGGACCCAACTATTCAATTGTGAGCAGTGTCCAGAATTGCAGATGAGGGTACAAAGAGCTTCGGAAGTGCTGGCCCAGTCGATCTGAACACATAAAGTGTTAGCAGGTACCACACCCTCATCTGGGGTGACCAGATGGCTCACACAGTCTGTGTCCTCCCTACAATATCTGTTCTGTTTCAAGGCCCCACTCTGAATGTTTTGCACAAGCACACTGAGTCCTGCTCTCTTCTATTTTCCTTCTCCCCTTTCGTTTCCCAGCACCCCTCCTGCTGTCTCCTTCCCTAAGGCTGCTCTGCCTGCCTCTGCCCCATAAGGCACAGCAGCTACTAGGGGCTGTAAGCTGTATCATTCCATTTCTCTTCTCAATTTAAAGCAAACCTCTGTATTTCATGGGATAATTTTTCTCGGACCTGCTTTATTGGTCTGGGGGTGGTTCACTGGGTAACTAGAAAATAGTCATGTCTATCAAAGTAATTACCATGTCCAAGTAACTAAACTGTCACTATCCATCCCCTTGCTTCAGTGCTGAACCATAAGCTGCTGTGCTTTTAACCCAGCTCTTCTCCAGCTCCAGAACAGCCTCACATTGCCCTTATGCTGCGCATAGGCCCTCCTGCTTCTAAGCATCCCAATCCCCTCTGACTCTGCCCATCTTCCTTAAACTGACTCTCCCACTCCTTAAATCTGCAGATATACCCTCCTAAATAACTTCCTCTACCCTTTTGAATTTTTTCAAAAGGGTATTAGGGTATTATTCAGGGATTAGGAAATCCAGGGGTTGTCACAGCTTATAGTGAGAAGGCATTACCACTCCTGGCTCTACCACTTACCCACTGGGAGACTTTAAGAAAGTTATTTCACTTCTCTGAGCCTCAGTTTCCTCTTCTGTAAAATGGGGATAATGGTTGATGTGAGAATTAGAGATCACTTATGGTATATGCATGTATAACAATTATCATATAGTAGACAATCAACAAAAAGGAAATATTCTCTTATCAAAATAGGACCTATAGACCCCTTTACCCTGGGAATGGTGGTCCATTCACTTTCTATGGTGAACCTATCTCACTCTGTAAGCCTGTATCTTGCTCTTACTCTGTAAATCTACCTTTCTCTTCCTCAATAAACTTTATTTCATGCTTGCCTTAAAAAGAAAATGGGACCTATGGCTGCCTACAGAGTTCTTTCTAATTGTAAAAGGGGAAAAATGTACTTAAGTGATGCCATGTAGCATCACCAATCTGACATTTTGTGCATCCTGGGATACTGGGAGTTCTACAGCACCTCTTAGGAAGTATTTTACCCCAAAATGTTTAATCTAAACCTAATCAAACCCCTAGTCCAGTACTGTCTGATGAAATTTTATGTGATAATGGGAATGTTCTTTATCTGCACTGTCAGCACTGACAACTTAAAATGTGAATAGCAGAAATAGATTTTAATTTATTTAAGTATAAATAATTTAAATGTAAATAGCCACATATGCCTATTATCTACTGAATTGGACAGCTGAGATCTAGATTCAACCTCTAACTTGTAGAAAATAGAGAATACAAAGGCCAGAGCCATAAATTTTCACATAAAATCTATTTTTAAAAATCTTAGGACAATTAGAATCTGGTTGGATCATAAGCGGTTCTTTGGAATATTATTAATTTTCTTGCCTATGAAAATGGTACTGTCATAAGAAATACAGGCTAGTGATACTGGGTACTCTCATTTTTGGCAGTAAGTGTATAATTGGGGGACTACGACTTGGCTATCTGTATAAAAATCCTTAAAAATTGTGTTCATACCCAGTAATTCTACTTCTACGTATCCTCCATGAGCAAATAATCTGAGATTCAGATAAGGATTTTTAAGCCATAAGACATTAAGGTTAACATTATTTATAATACTAAAAAACTACTTAAATATCCAAAAATAAATTACTGTATGTGTGTTCCATGAAACATTAAGTTATCATTAAACATGTGGGCATCGAGGAATTTTAATACAATAATGTTTGTTGAAGGAGACCTTAAAATTGTTATATGTCATGTAATCCCAATTACGTGTGTATACATATACAGAAAGATGCGTCCCTGTATATATGAACTATATGTAAACATAGTTACAAATGAAAAAACATGTAGACATAAGATACAGATAGTAAAAGGCTAAAAGTAGAAAAAAAACAAGAAATGCAGGCTAAAGTATTTAAAGTTCTATCCATGCTGTTGTCTGTAATTGTTAAATAATTGGGCAAATGTGATAGCAAATATGGTATAATGATAATTACTGAATACAGGCATCTATGGGGCTCAGATTTATCATTTGCACTTTTCTCTATGTTTTAAAACTCTCATATTAAAAGTTCAAAAAGACATAAAAAGCAAGTATTTATAAATATCTCCTGACAGCTGCATGGTAAGGAAAAAAATGAAAATTATTTCAGCAGCCCACAGAATAATCCAGAGATGAGGAAATCCAGCTTTGTACTTCAAGAATGCTTTAGGCACTACTGGAGTGGAAATATCGAGATATCATGTGTTAAATCCTCAGTCTTTCCTGGGTTCCCTTCTCCCCAAATCACACTCATTGCTAGGTCCCTTCCTCTTCCCCTCCCCCAGGGCCCATTCCTCTCCGGCCACTCCCTGCCCTGCCCTGCTCCCCGCTGCCAGTAGCTAGATGCATAACCTGCTGGCCAGGCACTTTGAAGATGAAACGCAGAGAGTGCCCCTACACCCAGGGACTGGCCTCCTTTACAAAGAGGAAAATGCAGTCCACTCCACCCTTAAACAACATTCTGGACAGGCACTGGACCTGGCTAACCACCCAAGCCCATAAAGGGCAAATTGCCCCCATTCCATAGCCAAGCCCCTGCAGAATCAGACCATATATAGGACCCAGGCGCCCTGACCAGCACATTGGAGTTTCCCCTAGGACTACAGAAACCTTATCCGATTCTTTGCAACCCAGACCTAAAAAAGAAACATGACCTGCGGATCAGGCTTCGGCGGCCGCGTCTTCACCTGCGCCTCAGCCTGCGGGCCCCGGCCTGGCCGCTGCTGCATCTCCGCCGCCCCGTACCGTGGCATCTCTTGCTACCGCGGCCTCCCCGGCTGCTTCAGCAGCCACAGCGTCTGCGGGGGCTTCCGCGCAGGGTCTTGCGGACGCAGCTTCGGATACCGCTCAGGCGGCGTGTGTGGGCCCAGCCCCCCCTGCATCACCACTGTGTCGGTCAATGAGACCCTCCTCACGCCCCTCAACCTGGAGATCGACCCCAACGCCCAGTGCGTCAAGCACGAGGAGAAGGAGCAGATCAAGTGCCTCAACAGCAGGTTTGCTGCCTTCATTGACAAGGTGGGTGCCCGGATCACACCCTTCCTGAACCCCCACCCATGTGCACAGCCAGGCCTGGGCACTGAGATGGGGAGTCAGAAGCAGAAAGAGCTTCTGCCTGTCTGCCTGAGATCCCCGTTTGATGGCAGAGGTACACAGACAGAAGACAGACACAGTCACTCCAGGCCTGGAAGGACTCAGCTGACAGTTCAGATAGGCTGTGCTTATGGACACAGTTGTACCCAGACCACACCTCTGGGACACAGCTGGACTTCAGGCAGTTGGGGAGGGATACAAGAGCCACTGCTGAACTCAGAGACGTTTGCACAGCCCTGGACTGGGGACTATGCTCCCCTAGAGAGGCTGTAGTGCCTTGGCTGCCACATGCAGTGGGGGAGGGTGGCCTGTGACAGCAGCTCCCTACCTAGGCCTGTCCCCAGGCACTCCATCTGTGATCTGAGTCTGGTGCTCTGCCTGTGAGGACGCCTGCCTCAACTGGCAGCACAGAGAGTGGGCAGAGCCCTCCATGTGTCCCTGACACAAACCACAGGGACTTATCTGGTCGGGAGGACTCAGCTCCCCTGACATACCCCAGCCCGGATCCAATCCCCAGTTGGCCATCCAGACATAGATTATGATCAGGAAAGCCAGGAGTGCCTGGCCTCCGCCTGCCCGCCTCTGCCCACTCTGCTGAGCCCTGGGTTTGGGAGTTCCCCTGAAAGCAATCACCCCACAGAGCTGGCTTAAGGGTGTCAGGACCCATTGGACCCTCATCCCCACCCTGAATGGCAGGTGCGCTTCCTGGAGCAGCAGAACAAGCTGCTGGAGACCAAGTGGCAGTTCTACCAGAACCGCCAGTGCTGCGAGAGCAACCTGGAGCCGCTGTTTGAGGGCTACGTGGAGACGCTGAGGCGGGAGGCCGAGTGTGTGGAGGCCGACAGTGGGAGGCTGGCGGCGGAGCTCAACCACGTGCAGGAGGTGCTGGAGGGCTACAAGAAGAAGTGAGTGTGGCCGGGAGTGCTGCTGGGCACAGGCACGGGTGTGGGTTAAGCACGCCGGGTTAGACAATAGGAAGAACTTCCAGCTAGGGTGAGGGCTGAGGAGCAGCACAGCCTGACCGAGTGTTGCAGGAGGCCTTTCTTGTGCAGTCTCTCCCAGATGCCGGCAGAGGGGTGGGCTGTGGCTCCCCCTGAGTTAGGTGTGCCCTCCTCCAGCCTTCTCCTTCCCCCTGCTCTGTGCGAAGGAAGCTTCTGCAGTCTCTAGGCCTTCTCATCCTGCCCTTCAGCCCTGACACCCTTAGCACCAAATCACATGTAGCCCCCAGGGCACCCAGAGTGACAGACCTAGGGCTCCGTTTGTCCCACTGCTTTGGGTTCTGTGTTCTGAGGGCCTCTGGGTCCCCAGCTCAGATTGACATTTGGGTGAGAGGAGAATGGGTGCAGGCTGGAGACCCAGTCTGGGGTTGGGGCCTGAGACCTTTTTGGCCTCCTGATGTGACCTCACAGCAGCCCTGGGAATAGGACTGGGAGGTCCCAGAAGATTAGCCCTCTCAGTCAACCCTCCAGTGCAAAGTGGAGAGAGAAGCCCAGACACATCCCAAATCCAGCCAGAAAGGGGATTCCTGATACTGCCACCTTCACTCCTATGAGGGGCTATGAGTTCTGCAGAGCCCTGTCCCTCCCTGACCCCCTCTCTGCCCTGTCTGCTCTTTGATCTCAGGTATGAGGAAGAAGTTTCCCTGAGAGCAACAGCTGAGAATGAGTTTGTGGCTCTGAAGAAGGTGAGTAACACGGGACTGGGAAACACAGACACTGGGATCTGAGAGTGACAGACTCTTCTTGGGGTGACGTAGGGGGCTCAACTTCAGAGTGGGCTGAAATGACCTTCCCAAACCAGGCTGGGAAATTCCCAGAGAGGCAGGCCAGCGGGGGTAGCACCCA